ATCTCAACATCTCAAACGACAATGTATTTACTCACCATGGGCGACTCTCACAGAGGCACACCTGAAAACATCGCCGAGTTTGTAAATTTTTAGTTCTTATCTATGTTTACAATCTTGTTTAATGAAACGTTACTTATTTTAGTTCTTGTCTAACGAAACATTAATTATTTTGCAGGATGCATCAAGGTTTCGATGTCGTGTGCATAACTACATACCACACGACCCCCTTATAGGGGAGTACCTTCGTAATTGTGGATTTGGTCATTTGATCCAAATTAAATCTTACTCTCTCGATATGAAGTTTATTCTAGCGTTGTTAGAACGCTGGAGACCGAAGACACATACATTTCACCTACCTTTTGGTGAGTGTACTGTGACTCTCCAAGACGTATACATGTTGCTCGGCCTACACATCAATGGTAAGGTCGTCAACGACAAAGTTGGTGTCCCTAACCGACTTTGCAAAGATTTATTGGGCGCCCCTCTATGTGTGGACGCACCTCAGGCGAAAAGCGAGGGCCGCCCGAGGGGTCAGGGAATTAATTTAAAATACCTCAGAGAACAATACAACAGTATTGTATTAAGTGACGATAGCACCAAATATGACAAAATACTCAAAACACGGTGTTATATTATGATCTTGTTCGGTCACTTTTTATTTCTAGAGGGCACTGGAAATTCTATAAATATTATGTATTTACAAATATTACAAAATATAAACAGAGTGTGCGAATATAGTTGGGGATCAGCTGTCCTGGCCCATCTGTATAACGCACTTTGCAAAACTTCCAAAAAAATTCATGTACTTTTTATGGCTGTGCTTATCTCTTACAAGTGTGGGGTTGGTCTAGGATGCCAACGCTTGCTCCAAGAAATCGGGATTCTTTTACATTTTCGTACGCCAACAAGTAAGTTTCTTTTCAAGATTATTTTGCAACTACATTTTCTTTGTAAGTTAATAATTTGTGAGATGTGTTTTGGATGCTAACTTATATGTGTTTATTTTTTTTAAGTGGTCTGTTCCAGGGATGAATTATCAGAGATGTCCCAGGCACTCTATAATTCAATACCGCAACCTCATCGATCACCTTAGGCCAGATGATGTAACTTATTTACCTTTAATTTGTCTAACGTATATGCATAAACTTGTATATCTCTATCTGACTTATTTGTCCACCTTTATTGTAGTATGTCTGGATGTCGTACGAGGGTCTCGACCACCAGCCCGACCCCAATGATGTTGCTGTGTGGACTTCGAGAACATCCATAATTAGGTTCACTATGGTGGAGATGCACCAAAGTGACCGGGTGAAGCTACAATTTGGGATGCACCAGGATATTCCAGATGCTCCGGTAGAATTGGGGCAGTCGCATCAAAAGCGGGTGGACTCGCAGTGGAGTGTTAGTCATTGAAAGGAGTTTACGAAGGAGTTGTGTAAACACTGGAAGAGAAGAAGGCAGCACGTCTTAACCGACCATATTGTGCACGGGGTTAGGCCAAGTCTTCAATATATGACTTGGTTTAGGTCTGTCACGACATCTCAGCCATTTTTGTCCCAGCCAACATATTTGGTCGACCCAAGGCAACGCGCTTCCTCGTCCAACACACAACAACAGTCCAGTGCCCAAAATCAACCTTACCATAACCCATACATGCCCCTAAATGCCCCCCCATCAACCACCATACCACGACCCATACATGCAACCCACCCAGTCCCAGCCTCAACCACCATACTATTATAGCCCTGATACGTCTTTTGAGCCTACCCCCTCTGCCTATAGCTCAGACAACTCATTTGACCCTACCCCCTCCAACAATCCACTGTTTGACTACCACACACCACAACAACCAACACAACATTTCCAACCCAACTCGATGTACCAATTCAGACAACCATACAATCCATACTCCACCCAACCTCCCAGACCATCTTACGAAAACATGGGCATTGGGCTAAACTACGGAAGCGCCGTTGATAGTGGACCTCCCGGCTATTGGGGTCAAATACTGCAAAATCTATCTGATACGCCGGGGCCGTCCCAACCATACGCTCCTCCATAACTCAACACACAGAGACCGGACACACCACAGCAACCTCGTTGCAACGCACATCCCCCACAATGTGGCACCGGTGGTCACTTGGATAGAGCCGGCCATTAGTTTTTTTGTGCAATTGTAATTGTAATTTTCATTAGATTTTAAATTAATATATTTTATTATTTTTATATGTTTTTTAACATTTCTATATTTTTATATTTTCTTAAGATTATTTAAATTTCAATTAATTATGAATAACAAACAACATAATTTAATAACAAATATTTATTAATAGATAATTAAAATATTTATTAATAGGTAATTAAAATATTTATAAATTTAATAACAATTTTAATGTAATTAAAATGTTATTATAATATTTACATAAATTAAAACATTTATTAAAAATATATTTAATATTTTTTTTATAGAAAATATTAATAAGAAAATAATTAAAATTAGAAATTAAAAGCAAGAAAAAAATAAAACCCTAGTTTAGCCAGAGTCGCCATTTGCTCTGGCGACTTTCACGCAACCAGAACCAAGTCGCCATTTGCTCTGACGAATTGCTTTGAGATTGGCCTGTGTCGCCATTTGGTCCGACGACACGAGGTTGAATTTGAATTGTTAGTTATTTCTAAAAAAAATTTGGACTGTTTGTTATTATGGTAAAAACAACCCAATACATAATTATTGTAAAAAAAAATTCCCCAAATGACATGTACCAGCGAAATATTGCCACATAAAATAAAATTTTAAAATCACATATTAACCCAAAAGTTTAAAGAATAAAAAATAAATTAATTAAAGAACATATGACTTGATCTTTGAGAGTAAGATGTTAATATATAAAGTGTGATTAATGATTGTCAGATTGGATGAAAAAGAGGATGTTAAACAATGAGAGTGGATATAAACTCAATACTTTAAGGTTTTAAGTTAATATGTAATTTTAAAATTTTATTTTATAAACAAAAATTTCATTGATATAGATCATTTTGGATAAATTACTCCGAATTTTACAAGAGGTAGCCTAGGCCACACCAGAAATAAATATATTTTAAATAAATTTATAATCATTATAATAGTTATAATGCTTTTATTATAATATTATTTAATTAAAAAATAGTAATTTGTTATTATTATATATCTTAAATAATTTAATATACAAACAGCAAAATTCTCAGCTAGTGTAGTGTGATCAATCACTGAAATTTAATTTAATTTATTTAATAATAATAATAATAATAATAATGTGTTTATTATTTTGTTTTGAGTGGTTATCATCTTAGTCCTCTTTTATTTTATTTTGGAATTTTAAATACGACCTGCATGTCGTGTCTTTCTTTTTAATCTTTTTATGTAATTTTTTTCTCATCTTATTCTCTGCTATGTAAAATGAGTATTCTTTAATGTAATCTAATAAAAAAAATAAGAACGTAAGATCAAAGAAGATAACCATGAAAATCTAGTTTGGAAAAGCGAAGATTGTTATTAAGTTTAACTTATATTCTCTTATTGGTTTGAGAGAACAATTGCGCTAGGGCCCATAATTGTTTTATTTTGTTTATGTATGTTGATGCATGTGAATGTATGTTAATGCATGTGAAAGACAATTTATACGATAAATAAGTACGATAAATAAGTCAAAGAGATTAAACTAATTAAAATTTCCTCAAATTAAATATTACATTTAATTACTTTTTTTAATTTGTATCTTAACTTAAAAATTCATTTTAATTTCTTAAATTAAAAAAGTTTTATATGGATCTCTTAACTCGTTAAAACATTTTATATTAGTCCTTCATCTTACTAGCGATAAAAAAGCTCAAAAATCGATTGATAAATTTATCGCTAATTAGACAAAAAAAAACTAATATGTTACTTTTTAAAAAGTTAAATGACCAATATAAAACAGGACCAAAAATAATATTAAACCTTTATCCCAGTAAAAAATAATATTAAACCTTTATCCCAGTGTTTTACTGTACATTCAAAAGATATAGATATAATCCTTAAGAATATTTAAAGAAAACCTTAAGAATACTTATTCTGTCACAAACGTTTTGTTTGTTTTTTCAAAAATGTAGAGAGATCAGCTTATCAATTGTCTTATAATTTGATTTTAATTATCTTGTAAATGTTGAACAGGTTGCAACAATTTGGACAAAATTTTCTTTTCCAGCCTAAAAAACTCCATCCATCAAGTTCAAAATTATGTTAGCTACCTTTCATATGCAGATATATCAAAGGACTAAAAAAGAAAATTTCCACCAAGTTTTTCATGTTTATCCAAAATATGCTCTGTTGCTTCAAATCCGTGCTTAAAATATTTCGCCCAAATGTTTTGGTAGAATGGTGGTTTAAATCCTACACCATATCAGTCGACCACATCACAAATCGCCTTAAAACTCTTCACTCATTATGACTTGAGATTACAAATCCACATAGATATACAAGAGATGGAGTATTTTCAATTCTGTTGCACAAAAGTGCGACCAAATCTATACGTAAAGACCACCACTGCTGTGAAAGTGTGCAGAAAGGCTGATCACATTCTCACAAATAGGGGTAGCTCATAGACAGCTTTGTACATATAAGATGAGGTCAGAGAAAGTTTCAAAAGGGGATATGCTTTGCACAACAATAAGTGGGTTGGCCGCGGCATCTCACACGAGGTTTACACAACATCGAGCAGAAATCTGCATGACAAAGAGGGGATTGCTATGCTGCTGTGACAAAGGCCCAGAAGAAAAAAGGGCCACGTGATCCCACAGACTTTACAAGTATGATCAAATGCAACACTTGCCTAAATATCAACCATTAATCATGACAATCAATCAGCTACTAAAAAAAGACTACGAAATCAACCACCAAGGTAATTTTTTCAACAGCATATCAACAAAAATTAGAACATAAAATTGGGGGAAATGATATACAATGCGGAGAATAAATGCTAATCTTAACCACTTCCATAGTTTATATCAGGTGTCGCAGCATCAGATGAAAATGGAATTTCAACTCTCTCTTTCACTAGACATCGAGCCTCCCCATTTTCCATCACCAAAACTCTCCCAGGTGGACACAGTCTCTCAGTGGTAGATCTCACATTCTCGTTTTCTAGTCTGTGATGCTTGGCTTGTGCATTGAAACGAGTCTTGTGCAAATTAGGACCAAATCCAGACAAACTCAATATTGATACCACGCCAACAACTGTGAGTATTGTTTTTGCTGCAGAAGTTATAACACACCATAACCCTTTTCTTGAACTTTTACCTCCATCTTCAACATGATTTTTCTCTTTCTCATTTGGATTCCTTTTAGCCTCGATCACATTATCAAGTGTGATTAATCCATTGCGACCAGACTTATTGACAGAAGGGTTCTGTGACAGATATTCCTTGTCAAGAGACATAGAGTATGGAGGACGGGTTGGATAAGGAGGAAGAAGCAGATCATTGTTTGGCTCCACTGTTTCACTGGCAAAAGTGGAAGCTTCATGTATCACTTCCAAATCTTTACCTTTATACTCCTTGAGTTTATTAATTAACATTTTGCGACTGTTTTCAATCTCAGCCAAGGCAATTTCTCTTTCGTACCGTTGTTGTTGTTGCAGAACCTGTAAATTACACACACCAATTTGGGATTCCCAAAATGTTATCTCAATCATATTTTGAATGTTTTACCAAATCATCAACACTAAAATCTTTTTGCCATTTAGTGAAGCCAACAACACAAACCAAACAACAACAATAAGATTTTTTCCCCATTTAGCAAAACTGAAAATATAAACCAAACAAAGAGATCTTTTTGCCATTAAGTGAAGCAGACAACATAAACCAAACAACAACTTAATTTCTTGTTTTTAGAGAAATATTCTTAAAAGAAATATTAAAAAAATACAAACCATCTTACAAATACTATTGCAAGATCAATGATCATAAGTTCATAACCTTCTACTAATAGTAGACATACAACAACAACAACCAAGTCTTAGCTCTTTAAATGAGGTCGGATACATAATGATAAATCAACTTCGGCCCATAGTAGTCAATAGCGGCCAATAGCGACGCTATCTCGTAATAGCACAGCAGATATGAGGATGGCCACTATGGGAGGAGCCTTAGCGGTGCAGAACACTATAGCGGCTGCCATAGGGTAAATAGCAGGATAGTAGAACAGAGCGGTTTCTAGCCCGCTATCCTTTTCCCCTCTTAAAAACCAAAATTACCCCTTAAATTTACAATGTTTTTAAAGATAATTTTGGATTTTTTTCAATCAAAACTGAATTGAAACACTACTTTAACCTTCCTACATAGTCGTTTATGCACTTCAAGGAAAATATCAAATGTATGTCTATAATTATTATATGCAATTTGTCTATAATTATTATCCGCTAACCCGCTATCTCACTTTTGTGGTAGGCCACTCCATGCCGCTATCTGAGACCATGTTTTTATCCAAACTGTTAATTTAGAAATCTTTCTTAATAACTTCTCTTATCTTATAGTTTTGTAAGGTCTTCCTCTACCTCTACTTGTTTGACTACTCTCCATCTGATTTGTTTTTCTTACCACAGAATTTACAGGTCTTCTCTCTACATCCCCAAACAACCGAAGTCTATTTTCCACAATCTTTTCTACCATAGTGCTACCCCAAGACACTCTCAAATAGCAATAGCAGAGATGAAAAATCGTATTTTTGTTGCGGCAAAAAGTATCAAAGAGTGTGAAACACTGAAGGTAATATGATTGATAGACCATTTAAAGATTAATTAACAAAAATATAAAAATGACCTAAATTCCTATTCAATGAACAGTGAAATAAAAAAAAAACAAAATAAAAACCCAATTATTACTTAATAACAAAAAGGAGTAATTTTGATTTGGGGGAGAGTACGCACCTGCAGAGAAGAAAGCTGAGTCTCCAAAGCTTCGAGTGCATCGCAAATGTTGAGAAGTCCATCAGTAGCAACGTCGTCGTCGTCTTCTTCGTCGTCGACAGCATTGGGAGAAGAAGATTTGGAATTGTGGTGAATGCAGTTGGTGATCTTGAATCGAAGTTCTGTGGCTCTGGCTAACACTAACCCTATTCCTTCCTCTTCCAT